TCGATTGCTTGCATCCTTGGAATGAAAAAAACCACCATGGTTGAAATATAAGTACGGAGAATAACATGGTGCGTGAAATTTACTAGTTTGCCGCTAAGTGTTGAACTGTACGTTCTATGCCGATCAAACACTTGATCAATAAAGATGCCCCATTGTGAGGTTTTTGTGACATTGGATTCATTTCTCATGCGTAATGACATGTTAAGGGATTAATAACGTTGTCGCTATAAAAGGTTTTTTGCGATGTCGGGGGCAATTCTAAAGCCAATTAAGATGTCAAAGGCCATATGGGTCTATATAGGCAGCACGGGCATTCCATATCCGGGGCCAGGCGGCATCAGCCAAGGCTTGCGTGCATCGGACAAGAGACGTTGGCCAACGGTAGTCAACATTAGCCAAGGCTTGCACGTTTCGAACGTGCCATGTGCGCATTAGGCAAGAGACGACGGCCAACGGCAAGTGGCATCAGCCAAGGCCTGCACACATCGGATGTGGCATGTGCGCATCGGGCAAACAATGTCGGTCAATGGCAGGTGGCATTAGCAAAGGCCTGCATGCTTCGGATGTGGCATGTGCGGATCGGGCAAGCAATGTCAGCCAACGACATGTAGAATCAGCGAAAGCCTGCAGGCACTAGACGTGGCCTTTGCACTTTAGCAGGGCAACATTGGCCATGGCCTACTAGCATCAACCAGGCGTTATCGATCATGGCTTGAGCGCATTGGCCAGGCGACATAGGCCGTGGCATGCCAACATCGGTTGTGGCCTACGTGTATCAGCCGGACGACATAGGCCGTTGTCTGCCCACATAGGTCGTGGCCTACGCGCATAAGTTAGGTGAGATAGGGCATGGCATTTGCGCATCGGCCAATCGATATAGGCCGTAGATTGCCCGCATCGGCGATGGCTTGTGCACATCGATCAATCGACGTCGAACGTGGCCTTCTTGCAGCATCTGTGGCCTACACATAGCGGTCAGCCGATGTCGGACGTGGCCTACCATTATCGTCCGTGGCTTGCACACATCCGTTAGCCGACGTCGGACGTGGCCTGCTTGTATCATCCGTGACCTGCACACACTGGTCTACCAACGTCGAATGTGGCCTAGATCTATCGCCCGTGTCCTGCACCTATCGGTTAGCCGACGTCGAACGTGTCCTTCCCGCATTGTCTGTGGCCTACAAGCTTCGTCCGTGGCTTGCACACATCGGTCAGCCGATGTTGGATGTGGCCTGCCATCATCGTCCGTGTCCTACACTGTCATGACCCGGGCTAGCCCCTACACGTAACACGGCGAACTTGACGTCGAAGGGGTCTCATACAAGGCCTTAACATACGTCATTGCATAAAATGCAGAAAATTAAAACTTTTTCTTCAACAATCGAGGTCACTTTTATAAAAATAGAAAGGAGTCTACACACTGTCTCATTGGCCATCTAGTATAATCACACACTTAAACATATAGGGA